CCGACTTCAGCCAGGTCACGATCTCACTGTCCGTGAGTTCGAGCCCCGCGTCGGGCTCTGGGCTGATGGCTCAGAGCCTGGAGCCTGTTTCCGATTCTGTGTCTCCCTCTCTCTCTGCCCCTCCCCCGTTCATGCTCTGTCTCTCTCTGTCCCAAAAATAAAATAAAAACGTTGAAAAAAAAATTAAAAAAAAAAAAAGTGATGGGGAGAAGGAGGGCACTTGTGATGAGCGCTGGGTGATGTATGAAAGTGTTGAATCACTATATTTACACCTGAGACTAATAGAACACTGTACATTAACTGGAATTAAAATAAAAACTTGAAATTAAAAAAATATTTTTTAAAAATTTAAATAGTAAAAATCACATCCTATTTTCTCTTATTCCTCTATTACACTTTCTCTCCGCTTTATAGTTCTCTAGCCCCGATCAGGCACAATCCCATCTACGTTTCCAGTAGACTGGGACCAAGTGAGAGGTCACTGATTTTAAGTGAGCTTCTGATCAAGGCTGAGAAAATTTTAATATCACAGTTTTTAATGTTCTGGCCCAGTGTTGGAGGATTGGAGATACTTATGGCAAGGAAAAATAGATACTAAGTATACTGCATAGACAAAGGCTGGTTAGCTATATGTCAACTATTTGGACGAGACAGCACCCCAAAACACATAGATACTGTGAACACAGCATTACAGATAGAGAAGACCATATCCTACCCTTTGAAAAAAGCCAGTGGTCCTTCTTTAGTGAGCATTGTAATTGCACAGTTGGGCACACTTGTGTACTGTCCTGGTGGAGAATTAACAAATCTGGTTTTTACCACATCCACTGGAGAGGACAGAACAGTTGTGCAAAATCCGGCGATGAGAGCTGACACAAAGTGGCAGGGTAGGTCATCTAAAACGGACCAATGAGACAAGTCAGCATCAGACTTTTGGAAGAAGCTTCTAGTTTTCAGTTCTCTATCAGATCCTTATAGAACCTGTTAGAATATTTTAGGAACCTATCCAATGGTACTACATTTTAGATAAAACCACTGATGAGCCCCTTATTTAACCAGCTCATTTGGATATAGTGTGGGATGGACTCACCTTCTGAATTATGCTATATAAAGAATAAGATGCCAACAAAGTCCCATATATTAGTATTAAATGAGAATAATGCTGATTAAGAATATAGTTGCATTTTCTTTTTGTTGTAGCAAAACATCTAATATTTAGAGTTTGGGTTTTTTTAATTTTTTTTATTTTATTTTATATTTGAGAGAGAGAGAGAGACAGAGCATGAGCAGGGGAGGTACAGAGAGAGAGGGAGACACAGAATCTGAAGCAGGCTCCAGGGTCCAAGCTATCAGCACAGATCCGGACACGGGGCTCAAACTCATGAGCAGTGAGATCATGACCTGAGCCGAAGTCGGACGTTCAACCGACTGAGCCACCCAGGTGCTCCCCCCCCCACCAACTTTTTTCCTTAAAAACTCTATCTAATGGGGGCACCTGGGTGGCTCAGTCGGTGAAGCATCTGACTTCAGCTCAGGTCATGATCTCAAGGTTCCTGAGTTCAAGCCCTGCATTGGGCCCTCTGCTGACAGCTCGGAGCCTGGAGCCTGCTTCAGATTCTATGTCTCCCTCTCTCTCTGCCCCTCCCCTGCTCTTACTCTGTCTCTCTCTCTCTTTCTCTCTCTCTCTCTCTCTCTCTCTCAAAAATAAATAATCATTTAAAAAAAGTTATATCTAATGTTCAAAATTACTTAATTTTTTAAAAGAGAGAACTGTTACAATTAGGGGGTTTAGTACAATGTGGCTGGAGAAGCTCCAGGATGAAACTGTAAATGCGCAGACCTGGTTGTTATCTACAATAGGAAGTTACCTGCTAGTAGTTTGTTTTTCACGAGGGCCTCCTTCATTAGATCATAAGTAACTATCTCTGTACAATTGATGATGACATTTCTCGTCAGATTGGGAGTAGTCCCTGAAAAGAAGAAAATGTTTAATAGCTCCAGTATATGATAAAGTGGTAATTGAATACATGTGTTTTAATAATTACAAAATTCACCTTAAAGTCAGTTACCTTTCCAAAGGCCTGTCAGGCCTTCCGTTGTTGCTATAATTCTGTAAGCATTGTAAGTCCCGGTGTATCGGGGTTTGAGACCATGCAGATGGCTCTGTGCTTGAAGTCTGACCTTCACGACCTCTGTGGGTTGCCCTATGAATACTGCTACTCCTCCAGTCGTTAGACCAGCTGAGATCTTGCTTCCTAAACCAGCTGTTGCTATTCAGAGAGAAAAAATATTTATCAAGCAAAAATTAAAAAAAAAAAAACACAACAACAAAAAACCAAGACCCAGAATGCAACTCTGTCTTTTTAATTTTAGTAGTTAGTATTATTCTATCTTTATATCTTTTCTATTTCCCCAATGCTTGTGATGATCATGCACTAAGTATGTGCTAAATCACTATAGGCTAGAAACCTCAAAGTTGACTAGAATTAAAAAAAAAATAAAGACTTTGAAGCACCAAGAAACACAATACTTAGTTCTTTCCCATATTTGGCTCTCTTTTTCTGTATATCCCAAATGGGAGGAGACACCAGTCACCAGGGAGGCTTAACCTTCCTCTCATCAATGGTGATGTTAATTATTGGACTTCGAGGTCTTAGGAAAATCCCAAGTGGGCAAAAGGCCCCCCTATGGGATGTCAAGTGGTATCAGGCTATGAAGGGTTACAAAGGGAACAACAACAACAAAAAGAAGTGAAAAAAAGTGATTTTTTGATATAAAATTTTGAAATCTTTTAGCCCAAGTTACTCAAGACAGATATTATTTAATCAACTATAAATGGTCTTGGAGCCCTCCTCTCCCACCCCCACCCCCATGCTCATTCCCATAATTAAAGTATGGATCAAAAACATTTACTCATCAAGGGCTTTCTCAGTCATTCTGTTTCCTAATCTGTAAAATAGAGACAATAACATCTACCTCATAGAGTCACTGTGTCAGTTAAAATAATATCAATTCAGCACTTAACATACTAACCTGCATATAGGAAGTACAGCAATTCTTTTCCTAACTGTATGATTGTACTCTTTTCTCATCATGCTTGTCTAGGAGCTGAGCATACAATAGATAACCATCTTTTAAATTGGCAAGCTTAAGTCCACTCTAGTCCTTCCTCACCACTGCACCTGACTCGGTTCTCTGGTCTTCTCTAACACTGGAGACCTGACAAGGAAACTCTTAAAGGAAACGAGTTTTTTCCTGTCCTCTCAACTCTCCTCATGAGGTCTGATTTTCTTCCCTTCAGACCAAAGGGTTTCAAGTTTGTTGCATGCCAAAATTTCCATGAAACTTGTGAGAACATAGATTCCCTGGTCCCAACCTGAGCAATTCAGATTCGGAGGACAAGGCAGTCCTCAGCACTTGGGAGTTTTAACAAGCTCCACTGGTGTTCCTGAGAGACTTCACTGTTTGGAGAACTTTGACTTAAATGTTATTTTGCAGCCCATCCATCTTCTCCAGATGGATATCCAAATGAGGCCCCAAATATCTAGGATCCACCAGGTGATTTTTACAAGTGTAAATCTGCATCTGAAAACTCGATTTTGCACACTTTTCTTTCCATGAACGGTGAGTACCAAGCTAATATTGGATGCTTCCTTGACAATTTGTTATGAGGACCACTACCCTGCATGTAACATTGCTTGACCAGAGCTGGGCTCAGGGCATGTCTTTCTATCTGTCCTTCCCAGGAATGTTCCCTGCTTACTTTCTTCCCCTGCGCTGAAGAACTCCTGGACGGTGTCATAGAGGCCGATCCTAAGAGAGGCAAAGCTTATTTGTCTCTGGAGGCCAGCAGGCAGCCCACTATAGAGTTTCATCGGCCCTTCTGTTTTTGCCAGAGTGGTGATTGTTCCCAGGACACCTCTGTACTTAATGGTGCTGGAGGTCTGGCATTCGCCTTGGATCTGGAAATGAGAAAGGACAGGTCAGAGCGAAGTTAAAATTGAGTAAGGGGATCCTAACTGGTGAGGAAAGAACGAAGACTGGCCATAGGTGGTCCTCGGTGGAGGAGAAACTTTAAGCCAAGATTTTCCCGGCTGTGTTCCTACTTTCAGTTCCTTTTCCCTTTTCAGCAACGTCTCCTTATATATCTCTGTATCTCTCTAGCTATGTATATATGCAGAGAGATCAGCTATAATGCACATTTTGAACATTCCCACCCTCCCTGTATAAATTCTCCAGGACCCCTAAGCGGCAGATGCGAATGTGACCCCTCCAAATTAAGGAAGGCAAAGAGCCTGGCTTGTAAACTGGGAGAGGCTGGTATTGTTAGCCGTTAGAACACTTAGTACACGCTAACTTTGGGGGCTTTGGCAGCAGACATGGTCAGCCTGTCTTCCGTGGCTTCTTGTGGTTCTTCCGTTACTCTCAAAGCATTCCAGTTTCCCACCCTGATGCATCCAGTGCTGCGCAATGCCGCACCATTTGTTAAGGGGCCGACGGCCCCGCCTCGAGAAGGGGTGGTTAAACCAAAGCGCTTGTCAAAGGCACGCACAGAATAGATGTCCTCCCTCTCCTTGAGACACGTCCCCATCTCGCTCGCTACCTGTAGCCGGACTTTGGCCGTGTCCAGCGGGAAGGTGATCACATCCGCCACACAGGCCGCCACGCCAGCAGAGACGATCTTGACCGCCATGGTCGGGGGCACGTCCGAGGCTGTCAGGCCCACCATCTTCGCTCAAATTGCGGAGCGACGAGCGGGCGCAAGGACGAAGGACTCGGGCCCCCGCAAGGTGGAATTTCTCCCTGCCTCTCCTCCCCTGTCCCGCTGGGACAGCAAACCGGCTTCCTGACTTCAGAGAGGCGGGGGACGCTCGCAGCTTGGGCGGCGCGCGGGCAGTGGCTGCAGGTGGAACCGGGCGCACCTCTCGTCTTCCCGCCCTCGCGCCGGGGAGGACCAAGGCTCGCTGGCTGGAAGCTCCCGTGCGCCCTGCCAGCGCCGGGTGACTTATATAGGCAGCCGCTCGGGGGCTGCGGCTCGCCAGGTCTCCGCAGACCGGGGGTGGACCTGGCTGGGGCGTGCCCTGGGGCGCCAAGTCCCTCCCACCCGCATCCTCGCCGCGCGCCTGGAGAGCCGGCTTCCACCCCGAAAGCAGTCGCCGCGCACCTAGCCTTCTGCGCCCTGCGCCCTGCGTCCGGCACTTCCGAGGGAGGGCGCACCGCAGCAGGGACCAGCCCCGGTCCCAGCTGGGGCCGGGAGCAGGTGCGGGCTTCCTAAACAAGCGCGATCTCGGGGCCTCTGGTAAAAGGTCCTGCCGAGCTGGGAATTCACCCAAGCAAGAGTGGAGCACCCCTTGTATCCTTCGGGCACCCTGGGAACCTTGCGGGCATCCTCTCGGCTTCCTTTTCTCTCTTTTTAACTTTTCATCCTCCTTTCTTCTTTCCAACCACCAAATCCAGACCCGGGAAAATCCCAGGCAGGAACCAAGAACACCTTGAATTTTAAAAAGAAATAGGGGCGCCTGGGTGGCGCAGTCGGTTAGGCGTCCGGCTTCGGCCAGGTCACGATCTCGCGGTCCGTGAGTTCGAGCCCCGCGTCGGGCTCTGGGCTGATGGCTCGGAGCCTGTTTCCGATTCTGTGTCTCCCTCTCTCTCTGCCCCTCGCCCGTTCATGCTCTGTCTTTCTCTGTCCCAAAAATAAATAAACGTTGAAAAAAAAGAAATAAAGTGTTTCGTTTGAACGCTTTTTGCAGAGGATGTCAAATGAGATCACTGACATACTAGAAAGCAAATGGTAAATTGCTAATGCACTCTATGAAGCGAGATATAACTTGCTCCTTTTACTTTCCTTTCTTAGGGCAGGGCGGTGGAAATGACACCGGCAGATCCCTTGGCTCCAAGGGGCAGTTCTTCTGATCTGGCTTGGTCATCTGGACTCCCACTTTTGCTTCCTTCTAGTAAAATATGGTTCCAGAGACATCCCAGGTGGGAAATCTGTTGCTAGCTTACCTACAGTGATAAATTAAATGTTGCAATGTGTCTTTGTTCCTACTCCTACCCTGTGCAAAGCTGTATTGTGAGCATTCATTTATTCTTTCGGTTCAAGAGTAGGGAAAATAAGATACAGAGCCCCTAGAGAATGATTTCCAAATACTCCGTATGAACAGGTTGTGTGCCCTGTGCTAAAAGCCTTTCTAGAGGACTTCCAAGAGAGGACATGGCTGAGAGATATTGAGGAAGCCAATGGTAAAGGTAGGGTGGGCTCTGAATAAACAGGAGAAGAAGACAGTGGTTTTCCTCCTCTGCAAACACCTGCTGAAATAAAGAGCAGTTGAGGCAAGTAGGTGGCATATACAAAGGCAAAGACTTGGGGAAAGCAGGGTGAATGTATGGGGATGTATTCTGTTGACCTGCCTGAGAAAAATGGGTGATGGGAAGAAGGAGAGAGGCAGGGTATGATGTTGGTAGAAGATGAAAATGTGGAAGCCAGACATGGCCAGCTGAGGGCTGATCCTGAGAGTCTATTCCAAATGTGTGTTCATGTTATCACTTCATGCCTGTGTAGTTCTTTACAGATTGTAAATGTTGTATTTGATATGGTAGACAATACAGCTTTGTGAATGGTTTGATATAGAGTCAAAGATTTTTCAGAGATGACTCTAAGTTTAAGAACATGGATAGTAGTGGGGCGCCTGGGTAGCTCAGTTGGTTAAGCATCTGACTTCAAGTCAGGTCATGATTTCACCCCCGACTTCAAGTCAGGTCATGATTTCACCCCCGCAGACCGGGGGGTGGACCTGGCCGCGGCGTCCCCCCGGGCCGTGCTTGTGGGTTCGAGCCCCACTTCAGGCTCTATGCTGACAACTCAGAACCTGTAGCCTGCTTCAGATTCTGTGTCTCTGTCTCCCTCTGCCTCTCCCCTGTTTGCACTCTGTCTCTTTCTCTCTCAAAAATAATATGATAAACATTAAAAAAATAAAAGAGCACGGGTAGTAGGCTCAGTGATGGTGCCAGCTGATTGTCATGAGACAGTTGGTAAGGAGAGGTGATTTTAGGGGCAAGAAGATGAGATTAACTTTTAAAGTCTTGGAATTATTTGAAGAGAAGAGTGTTTATCATAGGTAAAAAGCTACCATAGGAAACTACATATAACCTACTAAAAGAGCAAGAAATCAGAGCTGGGAGGTATTTGGGAGACAGCAATATGGATGCAATGAGAAGGGGTACGCTTTAAATGGGAGTGAGTACAACAGGATTGGGCCAAGTGGTAGGGGTACCCAGAGTTATGGTCTGGGAAGAATGGTCTTGTCAAAGGTAAAATTCGTAGTGTGTCCAGTCATGGAGCCATGATATTAGAGAATATAATTTAAGGAAGGGTGGGGTCTCGACTAGCATGAAATTTAGAAGATGTGTCAAAAGAGGACAAAAGTGAAGAAAAGCCTACTGAATTTGGCTCTAACACTATCGGTCATCTTAAGGAGTATGCTGTGGTGGAGTCATTAGGTTGAGGCTGATGGCTAAGCAGAGATCGAGAATGTTCAGTATAGTGTGACTAAGTGTCTAAGAGGGGGACACTTTTCCTTGGTAACTCTAGTGAACATCTGCTATCAACTGGTTAGTCCCCAGCTCACAACTCACCCCTTCTAAGAGGCCCTTGGAAGGAAGTAGGAGAAAGTTTGCCTCAGGTCGGAGAGAACAGTAGGGTAGAGGGTGGCGTCCCCAAGGTCAGACTTCTCTTCTGGCACAAAGAAGAAGAGGTGAAGAATAGGTCAGTGTGACCAAGGGTAACAGCCCTTTTATGACATGGTTAAGGAATGGCAGCGAGTTCTTAATGTACTAAATTCCTATTTCCTTTTTGAAAATTTAGAGCAACATTTACAACTGTACTTGCTCAAGCTGTGGCCAATCAAGAATCACTGAACAAATGTCTCTATATTACATAAAAAAAGATAATGCTGTGCATTTGAATACTGTTCTACACTTTCCCATAATTCTGTCACTAACCACCAATAGGAAACTCTGTGTTGTAGTTGTATAGATAACTGTGCAAATTACAGAAGAGACGATTCATAAAAAAAGAAATACAAATTTTAAAAATAGAGGTGATATATTTAATGTCATTGATAATGTACCTTTTTCACCTAATAAATTAATACCCTGTCTCTACCAAAATTATAATTATTACCACATTGACATGTATATTTTCATATTATAAATTTAATCTTATAAATATACATAAATAATGAGTTAATTACAAACTGTGAATGGTAAAAGCATGATAATTATAATATCAGTACTATATTAATGACAGCATTATAAATTTGCATAGTTCTTTTAGAAAACAGTTTGGCAGTATGCAATGAGCAAAGACAACATCCATGTCCTTTCATCTAATGATTCTTCTTCTGGATACCTTCCCTAAAATAATTAGCCAAAATGTGAAAAAGCCATATATAGGATGATGCTTACTGCAGTCTAATATTTGTAAGAGCAAAGTAGTGGGGGTACCTACATCAGTTTCTCTCACCTGGGTTTGTCAGAAGAATCATGCATATTAGTGACCCATAAGTGTCCACCTGTATGCAGCAATACGTAAATGGAAGGAGAGACTGCACTTAGGAATTGGGAAAGTAGGGAGAGGGCAGGAAGGGGTTCTCTTAGTCCAGCCCAGCCCAAAGAGAGAGACTATCAAACTGTGTGTTAAAGGAGAAAATATTCTGTTTTCATAGCACAGTCATTTAAGAGAAACAAGCCCATGTGCAAATTCTAGCTAAGATACTTCCTGGCTGAGTGAGCGTGGACAAATGACTTCTCTGAACTCATATTCTTCACTTTTACAATGACTATTCTTGTGTCATGAGTTTATTCTCTTTTTTTTTTAATGTTTATTTTTGAGATAGACAGAGCGTGAGCGGGGGAGGGGCGGAGAGAGAGGGAGACACAGAATCCGAAGCAGGTTCCAGGCTCCGAGCTGGCAGCAAAGAGCCCGATGTGGGGCTTGAACTTACAAACTGTGAAATCATGACCTGAGCCCAATTCGGGCACTTAACTGACTGAGCCACCCAGGTGCCCACATTAGGTTATTCTTATTAATGGATCACTCTTTGTGCTTAGCACCAGCTGCACATAACTGTCCTAAGCCTATGAAAGATTTATCCACTTCATGCACATAACAAATACTTACATAGCCTATAACAAGTACTGGACACTGTTCTAAACACTTTTTGAAGTTTAACACACTTACTCCTCATCTCAGCCCTTTGAAAAATGTACTACTGTTGTTCCACGTCATGGATGAGGAAACTCAGAGGCTTAGAGTGGTTTAGAATGTTCTCCTAGGTCATGTAACCACTGAATGGTACACTTAGGGTCTGTCTGAGCCCCAAACCCTCTGTCACTATATGATACCCAAACTGCCTTCCCAATATATTTATGACATGATATTTTCCTATGCTTTGAAAATGTAGAATGGCGAGGTATACTTATGTATTTTCTTAATAAATTATATAAAAAGTTTCAAAGAAGTCATGTGAAATATATATCCTTTACTTGGTTTGTATACATGATGAAGGGATTTACAAAGAATAAACATTGCAACACTTCTACTTTTAAAGTCACTTTAATTCAAGGGTGCCTGGATGGCTCAGTTGGTTGAGCACCTGACTTTGGCTCAGGTCATGATCTTACCATTCCCAAGTTCGAGCCTCATGTAAGGTCTGTGCTGACATCTCAGAGCCTGGAGCCTGTTTCAGACTCTGTGTCTCCCTCTCTCTCCACCCCTCCCCTGCTAGCACTCTGTCTCGCTCTCTCTCTCTCAAAAATAAATAAACATTAAAAAAATGAATAAAATAAAATAAAATCACTTTATTTCATTTCATCTTCAGGAAGAGCTGGTGGACGAGGTGGAGAAGGTGATATATGAGATTTAGAAAAATTTGATTTACAGGGATTGAGGCCCAGCGGAGGGACCAGAGAATGAAGAGGAAGAGGTGACTTGGAGAATAGGACATTCCTGTCCTCAGATACTTGGAGGCATATGCGGTGGACAGGTGAGATTTGTTCTGTACACAATTAGGGAAG